AAAATGTGTATGAATTGTTGAATGGAAACCTGATCTGCTTTGTAAACCTTCAGCCAATTCACACTAAAAAGAAAAAAAAAAAAAAAAAAACCAAACAAACAATAAAACACAGCCCTGAGTCAGACCCACTCAGTCCCTAATAGCCCCCAGGCTGCTGTATGGAAGCTCCAAGTTTGGCCACCTGTCTGGCACGCACGGGAGAGAGGAGGTAGGTGACCACTACTTCCCCCAAGGCCCGGGCTGTGACTGGGGACTGGCTGCCCTCAGTCCGTAGTGCGGCGGTTCCTGGCCCAGGGGGACACCTTCACGCAGTTGGAGACACTCAAGAGGGAAAATGAGGAGATGCTGGTGAGGCTGAAGCAGGAGAAGCAGCGCCTCCAACAGGAGCTCGACCACCTCAAGTATTCCGGGGAGACCACGCTGGTGAGGTGAGGCCTCAGTGCCCAAAGGAAGGTGTGGGGTGCACACGTAGGGTCGCTCAAAGACGTCCTCTCTGGCTTCCTGCAGCGAGCAGAAGCTGCAAGCCGAGCTGCAGGGGCGCCTCAAGACCGAGGAGCAGCGGCGCACTGTGGCGCAGGAACAGCTAGAGCGCACCTTGAGGGGGATGCAAGTTGTCAAGGCCGGCCTCGAGCAACTGGCGAGCAAGCTGCACTATGTCACCGTGGTAGGCCCTGCCAAGCCCGGCCCCATCCCCTGTCCAGACGTCAGTCTGAGACCCCCAGAACTTCAGGGTCCCAGCCCCGCCTCAAGCTCGTCCCCACCCAAGACCCCATTCGAATCCAAGAGCGGCCAAGACAAGAGAAGAAGCCCTCACCCTGCGCATTTCAGTTATCATCCTATCAAAAGATTCCCTTCACTACACTTACGGTCTCTGGAATTCAGCCCGAGACTTAAGAGGCTCCTCCCCACACAGGATAGCCACACCCCTGTGGGTGGTCCCTCGCCTTAAAGGCTCATCTTTGAATGAAAAAGCCCCGCCCCCTACTTCTCTGGCTCCCTCCCTGCCGACTTAGCTCCGCCCCTGGCCACAGGAGGGCAGCCGCTTCTCTGGGAAGGAGTTGGATCCCCTAACGGCCAACTACATGCCGGACCTGCTGGGCATGGTGGAGGAAAAGCTGCTGAAGTTGCACACACAGCTCGAGAGCCTCAACCTGCCGGAGATGCTGGAACACATCGCCGATCGCGAGGTGCCACTCCCTCAAGGGGCAGGGATCTGGAGACAAGGGGATGGGGCTGAGGGGTCTGAAGTAGGATCGGAGAAACCTGAGAACCGGGGGCAGCGGCAGAGACCGGAGAAACCTGAGAACCGGGGGCAGCGGCGGAGGCGACCCTCGAGACACCTGGGAGGACCCTGAGGAGCCAGGGGTGAACCTGAGAGACAGGGCTAAGCTAATGCAGCTGAGGGCAGGTCTAGGGAGGCCAGAGGGCAGGGCTAGGGGAGGGGTCTTGGCGTGAGAGGCCAAGGAGGGGGGCCCGAGAAACCAGGGGCGGGTCTGAGGGACTTGGAGGCGGGACTAAGTGTCAGGTGCACACTGAGAACAAGGGGCCTGGCTGGCCCTTGGCAAATAGCGAAACCTGAGGATTGAGCAGTGAGCTCAGTGTAGAATAAGGATAGAGCTCGGAATGGGATGGAGAAGGAGTGAAAAGGACACTCTTTGAAGCCCCTACTCCGCTCACCCTCCTCTCCTCCGCCTCCCCCCGCCCAGTTCTACGCCAGTTTAGAAGGAAAACTGCCCCTGTACAACACCCGCATCACCCTGCCGCTTGCCAGTCCCAAGGACAAGTACTTCGGTCAGTGCGGGCAGGAAAAGGGGCGGAGCGGGAGCCCTAGCCGAGACCAGACTGACTGCCAAGATGGGGGCGGAGGCCCGGAGAGAGATGGGGACCGGGACTCCACCGTCCTCTTCCCCCCTCACTCGTTCCCCGTCCCCGGCAGACGAGGAGGAGAGTGAAGACGAGGACAACCTCGTGGCGACGCGCGTGGCGCTCAAGGTCCGTTCCCAGAAGCTCATCGAATCCCGCAGCAAGAAGCGCAATCGCTCGCGAAGACCCTAGATACACCCTTGCGCCTCCGAGAGCCCCTTGGGAATCCCCGACCCCTCTGGGGTCTAGCTGCAGGCCCAAGGGCCCCTTCCAGGGTTGAACAGGCCCAGACAGGTTGTAGAGGCAGTGGGCGTCGCTGGAAGGAGGAGGGGACTGGGGCCTGGCCGGACGTTCCCACAGTAAATCTTCCCCGTCGGAGCCGCGGGCCCTGGAATCGCGCAATAAAGGTCATCGACCAGTCCCTTGGGTATTTATTTCCCTCTCTTTGACCCAGTATTGGAGTCCTGGGTGATGCAAATTGTTAGTGTGTCGCCCTGCTAATCGAAAGTTTGGAGGTTTGGGTGCACCAAGGATTATCAGAAGAAAGGCTTGGTGATCTACTTCCAAAAAAACAGTCTACCAGTGACAGTTCTACTCGGAAACACGGGAAGTCGCCCTGAGTGGGAGTAGACTGGGCCAACAGTTTCACCTGGTACCAGCCTAGACAGGTCTGCTCCTCAAAACCAGGTACCACAGACTCAGCGGTCTCTTGCCGGGAAGTGACAAGACCCCCATCAACAGGAGACACAGCGACTCCCAGACCTAGGCAAATCAGCCCTTACCAATTGAGGGTCGTGGTCTCTCTGTGACGAACACCTAGCTTTGCACACCAGCTCCCCTGCACTTAGAGTTCCCGAAGAGACCTCTCCCCTAGAAAGAAATGTGCCCTTTCTCCTAGCGACTGTTTGATTCACATCTCCGAACTGGGGTCCTACAGACCTGGTCTGGGATCTGGGGTCTAGCCAGGGACAGCCAAGCGGTGGGTCGGCCCTACTTCTCAGGCTCCGCCCAATCCGTCCGCCCCGCCCCACCAGAGCGCCCCGCCACTGCCCACGGCTCGCCAGCCCTTCCGCCTCAGTCATCGGCGCTGAGGACCCGGACGGGTGCTGGCCATGGAGCGCACTGCTGGCAAGGAGCTCGTTCTGGTAAGGGGCCAGGACCCAGAACACTACATCCAGATACTCCAGGCCTTGGACCCTCTGATTGTTGTTTTTCCCTCCGCCTCACCCCCATCAAACTGTTCGAAATCTCCGGGGAGGTGCTCCGGACTCACAGCCCCTTACTCTCAGCCCCTAACGCTGGGACTGGTTACTTTGTGTGGGGGGGAGGGAGAACCCTAAGCGCGTCTGCGGGAGGGGACAGAGAGAGTGAAGCTGGACCTTGGGACGTCCCCAAATCCATGTCTTCAGGACAGCACGGAGGGGACGTCTCTAATCTGGTACCTGGGACCTCGCTCCAAGTCCCGCAAGGCTCGGACTTGGAAGGGGAGGATAGCGCTGAAAGGCCGGGTCTGAGTTCACGCGGGCAAGGGGTCACCAAAGCCCCGGGTGTCCTGAGCTCGCCTCCGTGTCCAGGCGCCGCTACAGGACTGGGGCGAGGAGACGGAGGACGGCGCGGTGTACAGCGTGTCCCTGCGGAGGCAGCGTAGCCAGCGCTTGAGCCCAGGAGAGAGATTTGGGGGCAACCAGGTGAGGAAGGGGTTGGAGGGTGGGTTGGTCAGGTGAGGGCAGCCAAGTAAAACGGGTGCGGGGGTGGGGGAAGGGGACAGGTGTAAAGGTGAACGGGCGAGGAAAGGACGGGGCCAGAGTGTTTGCCAGGTGACTGGGGTCTGTGGATGGCGCAGTTGCGGAGTAGAGAAGAGGCCACTTGTTAAGGTCGAGACTGGACAACCGCTCCAGGGACAGCCAGATTTGGTGGTGCGGAACCAGAGACAGGGGTGGGGTTTAGAGGTAGCAGGTGAAGACAGGTTAGGGCGGAGGGCTAGGCCTGCGAACTCCAAACAAAGCGCCAAGAGAAGCTTGGGGGCTGACCTAAGAAGTGGGCGGGCTAGGGTGCCTGGCAGGACGGGGTGTGGGGATACTTTGTGAACTGGGCAAAAAGAATGAATGCGGCCCCTCCCCCCCGCATTAAGAGGAAGGGACTGGATCCGATATAAGGGTGCCTGAGGCGTATCCGGAGGGGTTCCCCACCCCCGCCAGCGTCTCTCACCGCCCCTCTGTTCCTTAGCCCTCCAGCTCCACCGAGGCGTTTCTCCATTACCGTACAAGCAAGGTGCGGGCGCTGAGGGCGGCGCGGCTGGAGAGGCTGGTACGTGAGCTGGTGTCTGGAGACCGCGAGCAGGATCCTGGGTTCGTGCCTGCCTTCCTGGCCACACACCGGGCCTTTGTGCCCACTGCCCGCGTGCTGGGCCTTCTACTGCCACCGCCGCCGCCACCATTGCCGTCGGGGTCAGTATGTACCAGACCTCCATGTTCCCAGGTCCAGATCCCCACCTGTACACTCTGCCTCAAGTTTTTAAATCAGGAACCCCCCCCAACCACAGAACCCTCCTCCTAAGCCTCTTCTCACCTCCTCTGCATCACCTGATTGGGTAGGGCTCTTCCTAGGATAGAGATCAAGAAGACAGAAGGACAAGATCTGAACCTCAACAAAAACCTGAGGTTGGTCCCCCATTGGGGTGGTGTTGGGGTCGTGAAGTTCAAAGGTCAGGCTTCAATGGGACAGGGTGGGATAAGCTGAAAGTCCAGGTTGGCTCATCAAAGGTCAGAGGTCAAGTCTGAGGTTCAGGGCAAGTGAGGTCCAGAATTCAGGGCTGGGCTGCATCATCCCACCTCTCTTGCTAGATCTGTGGTGTCTGTACTGGGCTCCTGGCTTCAGGACCACCCTCAGGACTTCAGAGACCCCCCTGCCCACACAGACCTGGGCAGCATTTGCACGTTTCTGGCTTGGGCAGCCCCAGAAGGGGCTGAGGTCAGAGAAGCAAAGAGACTGCTGGGAGATTTCCTGGAGGAGGCTCAGCTGGAGCAGGAAGAAGAGGAGCAGCCAGACCCGTGGGCAGGTGAGAGTCATGGAGAGAGGGGTGTCATGGAGTTAGGGGACTCGTTAGCACCCCTCCCTCCAGGGGCCTTCTCCATCCTCTTAGAGCTACAGACCATGGGCCAGTTCTTAACTCTGTCGGAGCTTCAATTTCTGCCCCTGTAAAATTGAATCAATTTTCCCCCCTAAAGTGTTAGGAGCTCTGGTAGCGTAGTGGTTACGAATCGGGCTGCGAACCTTAACGTCAGCGGTTCGAAAATACCAGCTGCTCCGCGGGAGCAAGATGAGGCTTTCTACTCCCGTAAAGATTTACACCCTCGGAAACCCTGTACAGGGTCGCTATGGGTCGGACCCGACTCAACGGCACTTAACAACAACAACAAAGTGTTAGTATTTGTCCCCACGCCACTTCATCCTACCTACAAAGTAAATCCTGACCATGAGGTCAGAATGTCCAGTGTTTTTTTTTTGCTACAAACCATTTCATGTCCACTTGATTTACAAGCCACAAAGACCTGGGTTCACATCCCAGATCTGCCACTTCCTGACTGTGTGACTTTGGCTAAGTTACATCACCTCTCTGAGCTTCCTAAGTATTTGTAAAATGGGGTGATAACAGTTCTCACCACATTGGTGTCTTCATTCAACAAATATTTAACCACTGGCTTTGGGCACATAGTAATGGACAAGAGCTCATAGTTACCTGAGGAAAAGAGTCAGTAAACATATCAACACAGTAAAGGCTTGGCACTATATCTTGGCAAATAGTATTATATTTATTGTTGTTATCTCTAATTCTTAATAATTAAATATCTACAACTGCTCGTTGGAAACCCTATGGTGGTGGTGGTTATGTGTGGTGGAGTCGGTTCCGACTCATAAAGACCGGGTACAGGGTTTCTGAGGCTGTAAATCTTTATGGGAGCAGAAAGCCTCATCTTTCTCTCGCAGAACAGTTGGTAGTTTCGAACTGCTGACTCTGAGTTTAGCAGCTCGATTCATAACCACTACACTACCAGAGCTCCTTCGGAAATCCTATACAGAGTCACTATTAGTTGGAACTGACTCGATGGCACTTAACAACAACTACTACTTATAGTAAAATATATACAAGAAGCCTTACTGATATTTCAATCTATCTGACCCATTACAAGGCTCGTTGACCCTGTCTGTTGCAGCGCACTTTGGGGATGGGCCCAAAGGCATATAAAAGGAGGTTTCAAAATTCATGGAAAGATGGAATTGAAAGATAATAGAACTTTTTCACCAACTTCTTGAAGCCCCCTTGTACTTCTCAGGGCTTTGTTCAAATGTCACCTCCTCAGAAAAACCTTTCCTGACTCCCTCAGCAAAAATATCCCCGACACTGTGTCTTCTCACCAGCCTTGTTTTTCTGCATCACCCTCTTTTACACACTTTGTTGTTGTTGTTAAGTGCCGTCGAGTCGATTCCAACCAATAGCGACTCTCAACAGGGTTTCCGAGGCTGTAAATCTTTACGGGAGCAGAAAGCCTCATCTTTCTCCCATGGAACAGCTGGTAGTTTCGAACTGCTGACCTTGCAGTTCACAGCCTGATTCATAACCACTACACTGCCAGAGCTCCTTTTTACACACTTTGTTGTTGTTGTTAATTGCCGTCGAGTCGATTCCGACCCACAGCAACCCTGTACAGGGTTTCCAAGGTTGTAAATCTTTACAGGAGCAGAACGCCTCATCTTTCTCCCATGGAACAGCTGGTAGTTTCGAACTTTTGACCTTGTGGTTCATAGCCCGATTCGTGACCACTACGCTACCAGAGCTCCTTTTTACACACTTTAGACCTGGGTTTTTGCTCATCTGCTTCTCCTGCTGAGTGCAGGACAACAATACCACATCCTTCTTGTCTCCAACTCTGTCTCCAGGGGTAGGAACAACTCAGTTTTGTTGACTGAATAATTGTCTCCTGGTTCAGGGGTCAGCCCTCTCTGAGCCAGCAGCTTATAAAGTATCATCTATCACCCATCTGTGTTTGATCTGATCCCTATTACAAAAGCTCCTATGTCCCTGATTCCCATCCTTTAATCCTCAGATTAAAGTGGCTGCATTGCTCTCTATTTTACAAAATAGCAGCCACTTTGCTATTCCTGGTGACAAAGTCCCCACTATTTTTATATTTGTGTCCACCCATCTCTCCTCCTGGTCACTAAATATCTTTCTCCCCCTGCTTTTAAGATTTCATCAGCTGATTTAAAATCATGAGAGAGTACCAATCCAATGTGGTCACCAGGAGCTCCATGTGGCTATTAAAATGGAGTTTAAATGAACTAATATTAAATATTAAGGAGCTCTGGTAGCGTAGTGGTTACGAATCGGGTTGCGAACCGAAAGGTCAGCAGTTCGAAACTGCCAGCTGTTCCACAGGAGAAAGATGAGGCTTTCTGCTCCCGTAAAGATTTATAGCCTCGGAAACCCTGTACAGGGTCGCTATGAGTCGGAACCAACTCCACGGCACATAACAACAACAAATGAATTGGAACAGACTCAATGGACAGCAAACCACAAGGTGGGAGATTTGAGCACCCCAGCCGCTCCATGGGAGAAAGATGAGGCTTTCTGCTCCCGTAAAGATTTACAGCCTCGCAAACCCTGTACAGTCACTATGAGTCGGAACCAGCTCAATGGCATGTAACAACAACAAATGAATTGGAACTGACTCAACATTTAACAAAACAACATTTTGCAATATTTGCTAATACATATCCACATACATGGGAACATCCTTCACTTTTGGAATGTCAGTTTCAAGATTCAAGAGGGTCAGTTCTGACTTTTTATTGCTTCTGCTGCCATTTTAAATTCCACAAATGACGCTGCTTCCTTATGTCTTAACTCTGCAGGCTCCGGCTATATTTACAGCTCAGGTTTTGTCAGATGATATTTTTTTAATCTCTTATTTAATTATTTAAATAAAACATTTAATTGTTTATTTGTTTGTTATTATTAATTTATTATTTCTTGCTTCCTTCTTTAATTGCTCCACTTCATTTCCTATGGGATGTATCACTGTTGTTCCCTGTGGATTTCTTTTACTTTTGCCTTCAAAATCACGCATGCTGCCATCTACCTTTTGGGGAAAGTTTAGCAAATTTTATTTATCTGTGTTTTGTTTTCTTTTTAACTTATATTTATCCAAGAGCAGGCCCATTATTTGTATTTCTTCCCAAAAAAGATATTGTTTCATCTGAGCACCAGTTCCACACAATAAGGAAGACCATAGAAAAATTGATGCTTTTGAGTTATGGTGTTGGAGGAGAATATTGAAA